CTGGCCCGTTCCGCCTCACTGCTCTCAGGCGAGAAGCCTCGTCTTCCTCCGGCTGGGGAAACCGGCCCACGTAGTGTATTCCAAGATGTACAACCCGACTCACAGCCACTCTCTCCTGCAAATGCTGGAGATTCCCCTTAGGAAAACAGAATTTTCCTAGATAGAGGGGGATTTCCCTTGGATTTTCTTCTCTGCTTCGGTGATTTTCTTTCAGGTATACACAAGTCACAATTTATGAAGGTTGGGGTCTGTCACTCAGCTGCGGAGTTTTTTCAAATGTTCTTTCTAGGAGATGGGGTTGTGCTAAGGCTGAGTTCTGGACTTAGCCCTAAAGCCCATCCAGCCCAATAAGGGCTCCAGAGCTAACATCAGAGCATGGCGTCAGACAAATTCTCCAGGAGAATCCCAGCCCTGCAGCAGGGGAGGAGTCTGGGCCTAGGTGACAGACACGAGTCCGCTCTGCAGTGCTCAGCTGGGAGACGTCGGCAAGGGAGTGACGCAATCTCCAGATTCTCAGTGTTCTGACCGAACGAGTCACCTCGGCTGGACATCTGCTAACAGCGAGGCAAAGCCATGCCTGGAGCGCCATCCCCACCCAGGCACCCCCCGAGGTCCAGGATGGACGAACAGAGTCGGAATCGGGAGGGCGGCTTCCTCCGCAGTGCACTTCCTGTCCCTGCAGGGACGGTCGCGCCCGTGCTTTGCCCACCCAGTATCATTCCTAACCCCATTTGGGTTCCGTCTGCCCTCGCAGCGCCCTCACCCTAGTTACAGGTTTGGGCCAGGAAGAGCGGTGTCCAGACAGGATGGGGAGGGGCAGGCAGAGTGCTCCGGGCGGGGCAGGGTTAGGGGAGGAAGAGGAACGGGTGGGACTCAGCTTCCTGGTGTCCAGACTGCAGCTCTGTCCAGGTTTCTCAGGACACAGGGACAGAGGCCAGGCGTGTCCTCTGGCTCCCATTACCGCACAAGGCCGTGGTTCCTCGCTCCCTCCATGAAAATGCTTTCCACTGCGGTTCCCTTACCCGACCTCGCACTCTGTGCTGTGCAAAGAGCCCGGTGGGCAAGACGCCCAAGGTCCCTGGCAGCACGCGGAAGGAGGCTGCCCCATCGCACGGAGCTCTGTGCTTCCCAAAGGTGTTTTTGTATCTGTGCTTCCAATGTAATTGGAAATCTAATTAAACATTAATTGAATTAATGATATGTACAGGCAGAAAGAGAGCTGTTATTTGCAAGAAAGGCAGGCAAAGTGCTTTGCAACAACTTGATGAAAATAAGTCCCTGAAAGGAAAGTTGCCTTCCCTCAGGTGTGGGTGAGGCAGAGGCGTCTGTGTGGAGATGGCCAGGGAGAGCATGCTCAGCAGTCCACACACCAGGACCCGGGCACAGAGTGCACCCAGGAACCCGGCAGGACTGGCTGTCACTGGCCATCAGCTGTCCAGCGCGGGCTCGAGGAATAAATTCTTTCCCTGCCTCATGCCTAAGGTCTAGTCCTCCTGCCCCAAGATTTAAAAACTAAATCTTTGGCCTTTTGTTTTCAAGTTTCTAATCCACTTGGAATGGACTTCATGCGTGGAGACAGGGATCTGTTTTACCCTTTTTTCCTGTGGACAACCTGGTGTGTCCCCACCATTTATGGGAATCGAGTCCTTTCTGCGATGACTGGTGACCCAGTTCCTCACACGGCAGATTCCCGGGCTGTAGGGTCCTCTGCCCTGCACTAGTCCCTCGGCACTCCCTGGCCACATGCTCTGCGCCAGTGAGCAAGGAATTTTAGTAGTTACCGCACGCGAGACGCTGACACAGGGATGAACCTGCCAACACCCATTTTGGCGATCGTGTGGTGCTTCTCCCTTGATCTGTCAGTACGCTCGGCGACACCTGTGGACTCTTCCAGTGTTAAGCCACCCTTGTCTTTTCTGGAAGAAATCCAACTTGGCGCCCGTGCATTATCTGTTTTCCACATGGCTACATTTGGTTTGCTAATATTTTGCTTCAGATTTTTCAACCCATATTCATGAGTGACACTGGCCTGTGCTTTTCCCTTCTGGAAACTCTCCTTTTCTACATTTGGTACCAAGGATCTCCTGGCCTCACTGAATGGGTAGAAGTGCTTCTCCTTTGTTATTCTCTGGAATTTCTTTGCTATTCTTCTAATTTAAGCTTACAAATGTCATTTGATTTAACAAATTTGTAGAACTTATTTCTTCTTCTACTGTGGTTTTTCTGCAAGAAGATTTCATGACTAAAAGATAATTTAAACAGTAAATATTTTTCTTAAAACAATTTTGGTAAATTATGCATTTCTAGAAATGTGTCCATTTTGAATACATTTTCAAATTTTCCGACACAATGTTGTTCGCAGTTTTTAACTGCCTTCTACAATTCTGCTTTACCCAGGGGGAGGAAGCCTCCAGGAACCAAGAGGCTTTGGCTCCGCTCTGTATGCAGCACGCAGAAGAACGGCGAGGTCGGAAACAGTGAGGGAGCGAGCACCAGGACGCAGGCTGCCCGGTGCGTTCTCCCGAGCCCGCGCTCCGTCGTACTGTCTGCCCACAGTGCTGTCCATTTACCTGTCTCTTTCTAAGAAGCTCTGCCTTTACTGAGTAATTTGTTAGTCACTTTCTGTGCTTTTCCTCTTTATGTCTTGCCTCTTATTCCTTAGAATGTATTCTAATGCTCTGGATTTATCAGCCTAAGCTGCAAACTCAGCACATTAATTTTTAGCCTTTTTTCTTTTAATACCAACATTTAAGGTTACACTTCCCTGCGTGTTTATTCACTACCCACATTTTGACATGAAATATTTTTATTTTCATTTAATCGCTAAGTAGTTCTCAGTTTCAATTATGACTTCCACTAAGAACTGTCCAGAATTGAGAAGTGGATTCTCAATTTCAATCAAACAGATGCCATAGCCGTCTACTTTAATTGTACTCCGCTCCGAGAGCCATGGTATAATGTGGTCCTTTAAAGGCCACCTGAGATGAGCTTCAGGTGTAGCACATGGCTGTGTTCAGAAAGTGGGCATGTGTGCTTGAGAAGGAGGCCTGCTCTCTAATCGTGCAAGGCCTTCGTTTGTCCATTGAGCCAAGTGTGCTAAGTTCAAACCTTCCGCGTTCTTGCCACTTTGGCTTTGGCTGCTGAGTGTTGGACAGGACGTGCTGGAGGACCGTACCACGACAACGACGGGTCCCTTTCTCCCCGGAGACCGGTGCTGCTACCCTGGGCAGAGGTGCGGTGAGCACGCGAAGTGGTGAGAACTCGTTTGCCCTGTGAGCTTCCACCTCTGAGTTGAGGCCATCTCTCCCCTACTAACCCCAACATCGTTATCCTGGTTTTCTTCTAGAGGTTTCTCTGATTACTTTCCCTCGTTTTACTGCCAGCCTTTCAGGTTCTTATGAGTTAGACATGTTTCTTGTAAACAGCTGTGTGCTGGAAATATTATTTTCTCTTCAACTTGGAGACTTCCACTGCCAAAATTAATTTAAGTTTACTTGATCTGCTTGCTCTCTTTCTCCCACTTTCTTGTGCATGCCCCTTCTCACACTGTGCCAGAGGCTTGCGACCAGGGCTACCTTCTTCCTCCTAATCCCACACCACCTCTTAGCCACTGGGAGTTCGCAGGGCTCCCCGAGGGTGAACACACACCTCAGCCAGCGCTCACTGCTCACCCTTCAGGTTCACAGCCTGCCGCCGTTTCCGGCCTGCACTTTCTTTATTTACCTTTGGGACAGATGGCTTATGCTTTTAAACACCGCAAAAAAGTGTTATTCAGCATTTCAGGTGTCCTGCCCTGGGCTAGCTTTATCTCCCTCCCCTCCAGCTACTCAGTCTGGTGTGTTTAGAAGCTTTCAGTCTCAGGGGCTGTCCCAATGCCTGGCAAGGACACAATACACACGAGGGAGCGTGCTAACACTGGAAGAAAGAACGATCAGAATGTTTTTGTTTTGGACACTGCACTATTTTTGTAACGAACTTCAAGTATAGAAGAAAAAAATCTTTCTTTTCGGCTCTGTGATTTCACTCGTGGGAAAGGTAAAAAATTCAGCAACACAGCTGTCTACGAAAAGAGCTGTTCTTCACGACACAGTCTGTGTTTGTGAACGGGTGAGGACAGGAAGGCTCCGGGCGTGACAGTCAGAAGACGGCTTACTGTGTAACTAGCGGAGATGATGTTTGTCAGAACCAGGTGGGTGACCCAGAAAGCACTGAGAATATTAAACACACGGAAAGCAGAAAGCAAAGCCAACAGGCAACGGCTGACTTACGGCACGCCAGCAACACAGGCACATTTCTAAGGAAACTGGTCTCCACGCCTCCCGACACAACCAGAGGTGAAGGCAGCGGCCTTGGACAGGACAGTGGGAGGTCCTTCCCGGCTCGCTGCACTCCTCCTGTCACTTGGGCATCGAGACTCTGGGTGCAGGAGCCCTAGCCCTGACTGTAGACCACGCAACTCTTGGGGTCAGGGGGAGCTCAGCAAAGGTGACATGAGGCCTCCCCTGTGCTTCTGCCCGGCACGCCGAGCCCCTGGGGACCGTGGAGGACAGTGAGCTGCCCGAACTCAGGCTGACCTTGTACACTTGGTGAGGCCAGGGAAAACCAGAACCCCTCCGCACCTCACGGATGGCGGCTGCTGTCCCTTCTCCAGAGGGAGAGTCTCAGCCCCACGCCTCTCACAGCACCCGTCAGGCAGGCCTGCACCTCTTTCCTCGCACACTTTCTCTTCGTCTGAGTTAGGGCTCGGAAGTAGAAGCTATTCACATCCACGCTCACTGCACCTGATTCTGACAAGTGCTTTTGTTTGAATAAATGAAGGGGCCCGGGCAGCAGGTGACAGGAAGAAAAACCCCACAAGGTGGCTCCTACTCTTCCAAATAGCTGAGACAGGGCACAGAGCAACGACAAGCCAGCAAAGGAGAAAGCACCCTCCTCCTGCTCCCCTGCACCTCACTCTCTCTGCAGCACACACACAGCTCATGCTGTCGGCCCAGCCCTACCTTCAGGTCGGACACATCTCGGTAGCACTGCTCGGAGCGGGTGTGGTCGGAGAGCTGCACGTTCCAGAAGCAGGGGAGCTGGTACACCAGGAAGGGGTTCTGCTTGATGACGGCGTTGAAGATGTCCTGGGGACAAAGCCAAGGCGGGAGCGCGGCTCAGCCTGCGGCCCCGGCCCCTTCCTTGGGGTGTGTGTCCCATGAGCACTGGGCTCCGCACAGCTGACACCGGACACAGGTCTCTCTGGCCCGCCGTCTCCAGGACCCCGGCGAGCGAGCTGGATGGAGCCGGGATGGAGACCTGGGACAGCACAGGCCCCTTTCTGCTCCCCGTCCCGCCGGCTCCCATGGGCGGCACACGATACATGGGGCACCCTTTCCTCCCCTCTTCCCATCCCACGCAGGAGCCCAGACAAATGACGGCCCCGCCCAGGCTCCAGCGGGCTGAGTGCTCCGGGCTGGGCAGCCTGTTCCAAAATGGGCATCAGCCCTGTCTGGGGGCTCAACCCAGGTCCCGCTCCATGAAGACCCCACTAGCTGGGAATGGGAGGTAGCTGAGCACACTGTCCTCACTGGACATGGTCACACAATGCCAGCTTTGGGGCACCTCAGGAATCTGTGACTGGACTTAAAATAAGAGGACACAGATGGCCCTCCCTCAGGTTTCAGACAGCGCCTGCGTGTTACTCGTTCCTTATGCAGCACCTCGTTTAGAAGTCAGCTCAAGGCTGCTTAGAAAACAGTGAACAAAAAATGTTTTAAAAAACAGTAAGAAGTAAGCCCCACAGGCTCCTTGTTTCTTCTGTATTAGAAAACAGGCTAAGAGCTCCATGAACTATGCAATTGAACGCTAAGACAAAAACACAGAGAGTCAGCTTCGGGTAGAAAGAAAGGGTGGAGTGCAAAACACTCAGAGGAGTCATCTCCCATCTCGTGATGGCCCCAGGGCCACAGTGAGGCCTGGTGGGTCTCAAGCCCCCCCAGGTGCCCGCGCCGCTGCTTCTCAGAGTGAGAATGTCAACAGTCCGGCGGCATGGGAGGACCGTTCCCAGACTGCCTGGATGAAGGTGGCCTCGAGCCAGGCACCCCTGGAGCTCAGGGTCCCCAGGTCAGGACCTCGGCAATGGGCTCAGGGACACGCTGGGCTCCGAGTGCCCGAGAGACGGAGTCTGCCTGGGATACACCACGGGGCTCTGGGGCTAGGCAGGCGTGACCCACACCGCTGCTCACACAGTGGGCTGCTGGACCTGCTTCCGGACCTGTGCCTCTCGGGCCGAGGACCAAGCCCTTCACTCCCTGACACCCTGCTTCTGCACAGAACCCTGGCGTCCCCGAGCTGGGGACGCGTGCGGAGCAGGCAAGTGACTGAAGCAGAGAACGGATGACATGTGGGCTGCTGTCTTCGCCCTGCAGCTCTGCGCAGGCGCGTGGAGTGGCACAGCGGGCAGGAGGGTGATTCAGGTCCACCTAGAAGCAGGGCCGCAGACTTTGGAGCCTGACTGTCTGTGTGCTAAGGGCTTGGTCCCCAGGTCCTCTCGCCAGGTTCCTGGGGCTCCCTGTTCCCTTCCTCCTCCTTTCATTTGATCCCCACACACCAGGGGAGTTTTGTTTCCTGTCTGCACCTCCATGATGGGCAGCCTAGTATCGGGCTAAGAAGCAAGGGGGACAGACCATGGACTGGAGCCTCGGAACCATGAGCCAATGAACCTTTTCTCTGGATAAGTCGGCCAGAATCCGCTGTGGTGACAGCACACCACACGCTGTCGAACACAGTGCTCAGAAATGCCAGCCCTGTCATGATCCAGCCACTCACCTGGTCAGCCAGGGACGTGGACAGCATGCCCATGAGCTCCCTCTCGGCCGTCAGCCTCCACATCTGCTCCCACTTCATCTTGCGAAGCTTGTCCAGCAGCAGCAGGATTACCCCTGGGTGACAGCGGGGACAGAGGAGCAAAGGCACAGTGAGGACAAGAGCTCGGTCCTCCCCGCGGCAATGGCACGCTGACCAGGGGCTTGGCCACCACACCCAACCCAGCCAGGAGGGCATGGTTTGGAGGCGGACACACCAGCCTCAGCCCCAGGCTCTGCCAAGTGACCAAGGACACGCAGCCAGCTCTCCACGACATCCTCATCTCACGAGAAAGCGGCAGCGCCCTCCAGGAGGACTGAGATGGGCAGAGAAGCCCCAGGCTGGAGGTGGACGGTGGTGATGGTTGGACCTCAGGCCACTGAAGGATCAGTGCCGACAGGGTTAGTGTGGCACACTTGAGTTACGGCCGTTTTATCACAGCAGTGAGGACAAGGACGATGGGGACCGAGACCTAGCCCTGTGCCTGAATGTGGCACCTTTCCTACCAGCATCAGGTCCCCCATATCTCTCCCTGGCGCTCTGACACCTTAGTTATAGTAGTGATTCAAGGCACTTATACAACACACACCACTTATCTCTGCAGACAGAAAGCAGCTGCGTGGCTTTCCCGGCAGTTACTGCTCAGCCCCACAGCCCTGTTTCGGTGCTTCTGACTCCAAGGGACGCTCATGGCTCTGGGGCAACTGGCACGCAGCTCAGCTACCAGGCAGGAGTGCAAGCTGTTGGGTCTTTAACACAGGCTGAGTTTTCAAGATATTAAGTAAGCGTCTCCTCTTTCCTCCTCCTCTGCCCTCTCAGGGTGAATTTGTATGAGAAGGGACCTGGGTGGATAGGTTAAGGTGCGGGAAGGAAAATAGCCACTGTAGCCCTTCTGTGTTGCTAAAAATGTTAAAACAATGGAATATATTGCTCGAGCCAAAGGAAATGTGAAAAGAAAAGTGCAGTTTGGCTCAGCCAATGGCTTGGAAGCAGCTGTCACCACCAGAGGCTCAGAGTGCACCGGGCTGGGAGGGACCCTGGCCACTGTGGCGGGCAGTGCGGCCACCCTTGGGCCAGGGCGGTGTCCTAGGACATAGCTCTGCAGGACGGCCATCTGGGGACTCTAGGAGGTGAAATCCATCTTAGCCGATTGCCGGTTCACGCACTTTGGATCCCAGCCAGACACCAGCGGCGGCCCCAGCCCTCTGCGCTCTCCAGTGGCGCATCCCACAGACAGGCATGCTCACTGCCACTGTGGGAAGGGTTTGGTCAGACCAGCTGGAAACAAAGTATCTGTGGGGGACGCCTGGGGGGACACACAGCCACCGCACTGCTCTGTGAGCTCCTCCAGGCCAGGCCCCTACTGTTTCCCTTAAGGCTCCCAAGGTCCTCAGAGCACAGATCTCCTCATCCTTATTTTATACGTGGCTGAGTGAGGGGCTCATCCAGACGCTTGTCCATTTCCCTGTTCAAAAGCAGCCTAAGTCAAACTCAGATCTGCCTGATCCCAACCTTTCTTCCCTAAACCAGAGACCAGCCTCGCTTTGGAGCCAGGGGGCGCTGTGGCCCACACGGCTCAGAAAGCTGTGACGCCCCCTTGTGGTAGCTGGTGATGGTTCATCACCTGCTCTTCTGGGGAAACCCAACTTGATGGGCATCATCTGCCAGTTTCCACGGTACGAATACTCCTATTTTGGGTAATGTCGGGCAACCAATGTGATGTTTGTCATCAGACACGTTGTTGGGAAGAAATGAAGATAACTGGTCCTCGTGAGCCGTGAGAAGTAGCTTGCATACTCTGACACGGTTCCCACATATAAAGGACAGCTTTAGGAACAGTAAGATTTGCCGCGAACATAAAATACGGAGAGGAGAAAGCACACAAGTATAGACAAAGTACAAAGCAAGCAGATGCAGTGGGTACAAGTCACTGTGGATTAGTTATAACACAGACTCTAGTCCAGTGTAAGAAAAGTTCATTAAATGTTACTGTAAGCACTAGTTCGAACTAGGTTAGAACAGTGTTCTAACACGTGAGATGCAGCCCAAATCTGTGGTCAATGCCTAAATCTTAAAAAACTTTTACAAGATACGATGTGTCGCCATGAATCCTCTTTGCTCTGAACACACTCATCCCATTGTTGTTGTCACCTTCTGAAGCAGTTCTTTAAGTCTCCTTTCGAGAGTACCCTTCTGAGATAGGATGAAGAAAAGACCGCGAAAGTTGCTTTTCTGCACTGATGCTGTGTCCTCCTGCACCTTACCCCTGGGGCCCTGCGGAGGCCAGAAGACGGTCAAGTCCATGGGACACTCGCACCATTATGATTCCATGCCATGTTGGCAAACATGAGGCTGAGCAAGGCTTGCATGGTGCTTCGCAATGACCTGCAGCCCAGGGCGCTGTCCAGCTGCCCAGAGAGAAGGCGCAGAGACACACAGCCTGGAACAAGGAAACCTCTTCCTGCCTGCCCCTCCCGGCTGTGTCTGGGACATGGCGTGATGTGGGTTTGGCCTGCACTCTCATGTCATGCACGGGTAGCGTTTCAGGTGCGTTTCCTGTCGCCTGTCCTGCTCAAGCTCACCTCTCCACCTCCTGTTAGGTCTTCAAGACCTCACTGGTTAGTCCCTCAGTGTGGAGCTTCCTTGCGGCGATGACGTCGTTCATCCTGCACACAGACCACGATGTGGGGGTGCTTTCCCTGCTGAAGGATGTCCGGCTGTCCTGGGTGTATGCCGCTAGGGTGATGCAGAAATTACCATCCTGACCATGATCCTGGTCCGGCCAGGCACAGGCTTGACAGCCTGTTGGGAGCTGCTCCACGCTGCGCAGGGGGCAGCGCTGATGAAAACCTCACCTGGAAACGTCGCCAATGACTCAGTCTTCCTTCTCCCTTACACCCACCCCTTCCTGAGACACACAGGCTCCACACCTACACCGGTGTGTACTTTCTTCTTTTATTCATTCTTTCATCTACTATGCGATTGCTAAAAACTGTCTACAAGAAAGCGGCTTGTTTTTCTTTCCTACCACCCCTAACCTGATGGGCTTTATTAACGATTTCAGTTTAGCATGTTTTTATCAGGAGCGGAACAGCCAGTCTGTGCCAGGCCTTTCCCCAGGATGCAAAGATGGCCAAGTCTATGTGACTCTCACACCATCACGATTCCACACCACCGTGGCAAATGTGAGGCTGTGCACGGCTTGTGTGGAGCTCAGGTGGGGCTCAAGGGACCAGGTTGGCTGGCCAGGGCTCAGTCGGCAGACAGCTGCGGGGAGACCCGAGGGGACAGCACAGACCAGGGCCGCAGGTGGGGCAGCTCGGCTGCTTGGTCTCGCACACAGGAGATGGTGCTGCAAGGTGGTCCCAACAAGGGCCCTGGGGCAGCAGTGGGACCCTGTGTTGAGCTGGTGGGTGGGAGCAGACAGGGAGGGCAGGAGCAGAGCAGGAGTCTCAAGCATCTCCATTTCCTACCCTCAGGGGATACTGTAGGGCCCACAGGAGGCTCCTGGCCAGAAGGGCTGATGAGAGTTTCCAGCTTCCCAGGTGCCACTCAGGGGCCTTGGCGGAGGGGGCGACACCCATGGCCACTGGCAGGGAAGCCCTGTAGGCACACCTGAGTGCTAGAGAAGGGTTCTGAACAAGGAAGACACCAAATCTCCTCCCTTCCGGGGGTCACTGCTCCAGGCACAGCTCAGAGCCAGGACTCTGGCCCCTCTGCTTGCTGCCCTGTGCCTGCCCATCCAGCCCAGGGACCCTCTGGCCTTCAACCCTGGGTTCCGGCTCCTCAGTGCTTCCCACGACTTCATTCACCGGGTTCACCGGGCTCGGCAGTATCCAGACAGTCTCAGGTCTCAGGCAGCGAAGAAGCGAAGGCGGAAGTGAGAAGTTGCAGAGCACGCTGTGGCCCACGGGAGGCAGAGGAAGTGGTGCGGAGGGGACACGGACGGCTCGGCTGGAGGGCTGCAGGAGGAAGAGCTTCCTGCAGGACACGGAGGACAGGGCCTCAGGCTGCACAGTGGATCTGCCGGGTGGGCTGCTGAGTGGTCTCGGTGGCTCACACTTCCAACCAGCCTTGGAAGGCAAGGGCTCACTGTCCCCAGTACAGAAGGTTCAAGAGAGGCTGCACCGACCTCACACGGTGAAGACACTGTCTGTGCCCATAAATCAGTTAGTGACAGGCTGTCCATGCAATAAATATCCTCGCACCCCAGACCCAGGTGGCCGCAGGACTCCTGGGAACCTCAAGGTCCCCAAGCCAAATGCACAGCAATAACTGTGGGGACTTGGAATGCCTGAAAAGCCGTGGATCTGGGCCCGAGTTCCTTCTCAGTAACATAGTGGGGTCTGGGACCTGGAGGACTAGAAAAGTGTCTTCCAAAGTACCTGGGATCACAGGAGTCGCACCTAATGCTGAGCTAGGAGATGAGAGATGATAACCACGTGTGTGTCCAGCAGTTCGTGAGCCAGCCTGAGGACAAAGGTCACTGAAGAGCCCTCTGCTTCCTCTCCTGTATTTGGAATGCATGGGGCCCTTACACATCTGGACCAGCACGACCGGGAGGACTGTGGGGGCTGACAAGGGCAGCTAAGAGACACGACCACAGAAAGGAGAAAAAGCAATAATGAAGGAGAGAAAACCCACCCCATGGAAAGTAACATGCATCAAGTATGTTCTGAAGCAGGGGCTTGAGCTGTGACACAGAATTCCATGGACAGAAACTGGGGAGAGAAATCTGCCTCCTCCTCTGAGGTGACGGCCATGGGCTCGGGTGCCTAGAGAGCTGGCACTTCTTGTCCCCAGGAGGAGCGGCTCCAGCCCCCACGTCGATATCCTGTGTAAGTACCGACTGGGCCACTGGAGCCCCCATGTTGGTACCCTGACAAGTGGCGAGCAGGGGTTTTGAAACATGAAGTGGAAATACACCTCTCCTGGTTAGGCCCCTGATACCATGGACTGCGCTTGCGTAATGCCCACTAGAATTAAAATAATCTGCGTGCATGCACACAAATAGGGACAAGGCTTTTAAGTGAGCTCTGCTCAAAATAACAAAAATGGATCCAGCTGAAGTCAGATG